GTTATGATTTTCATAACCGGTTAGTCGGTATTTTTTGTATAATATGTACTTTTCAAATAATATACCAGTATACATATTTTTTTTTTTAAAAATTACCACTTAGATCATGAAGATAGCATGTGTAAAACTAGTCTCATTCAAGCAGATGCTCGACTGTCTCCATAAACTCCTGCTCGTTGGCGTTTACGGAGACAGACAAGCATCTGCTTGAACGAGATTAGTTTAAAGCTGAAGAGTTGCAATCGACTAATTAAATTATTCACAATATACAGCCACTGTGAAAACAAATCCCCATTATTTTGTCTTTACAGTAAAACATGCTTATAAGTGCCAGGGACAAATAATTTTGATTCATTATAAATGTATTCATTTTTCAGTTTAGTTTTCAGTATGTTTTAAAACCACAGGGAATGAAAATCACTTCACTATACGCTTCAATTCCTTATTTAAGTCTGTCCGCAGTAAGCGTGTTTTCTGTATAACCCAAATACCACTCTAAGTTTACATACCCCAATCATGAAAAAATTCTATTTTCTAATTTCAAGAACTAATTTTTTACTAAACAATGTTTTACATGGTAATTAAGCTAGTTCATTATCTGTAATGGTAGCTTAGTTGTAGGGCATTCATTTTGTAATCAGGAGGCCTGGGCTTGATTCTCATTGGAAGAATATATAACAATAATTATCATGTTTATACATGTAGTATGTTAGATAGTGTATTGTTGAATTTTTGCATTTTTTTGTTTCAATCAAAAAAATAAGTCTTGGTGAAATTACATGCTCTCGTGCATTTAAATAAAAGGTAAAGCAATGGGGATTCGACAATGTCATGTCAGGGCTAACAGAGAGAGACTGAACCATGAAATAGATAACAAACATCAGTGTTTGTGCGTACATTTATACATTTGCTGGCATATACATGTAAACATCAGTGCTGTAAGCAGCTGTTAAATTTTAGATAAGAAAAATTCTAACCTTCATTTCCAAGGTCCACGCCAATCTTATATCAAAATGTCACCGTGAACTCTTTCATCACTCGCTACATTTATCACAGAAAACTCCGACACAAGACTGTTCATCGTTGTTAATGTGCTCGTCAGAATTTCCTCGTAAACAATTTGCGCAAGAATATATATATCCCTTTAAAACTAATGCTCCCTGTACGCAACCAAGGATTTTATGTGCTTCGTAGATGTGGATTAAATGTGCATGTCTACATACGGCTCGCACGTTAAGAAAATGTACAACTGTCAACTTCACATTTCTGTCTGCAATTCCGACTTGCATGGCTACTTCCGGGGACGTACTAAAGACTTGATATACTAAAGACCTGATATTCGACCTGATGATTTTTCAAAAAATAAAATAATCAGATTGAGTGTTATACATGATTTATTTTAAAAAAAATTATTGATTATGAAACATTATGCTTTACTACCAACAAAGCATCAGATCAAATCACGTTTTTCGTATATCGGGTCTTTAGTGTCTTCTTCCCACAATGCCGCTCATGTTGTTTACATCCAGGTTACAAACAAGAGGCCCCGATTAAGACTTTTTCTATACGGATGCATTAGTAAATGTTGATTTACCTTTACTTGTGTAAATAACTTGCATTTATAAATAATTTAAATAATAGAAAACAGAGAAATCGAATCAAAACAATTTATTTAAAACACAACAACTATCTAAAACCGTACAAGCATGTGTTACGATGCCTAAAAGGCGTGGCTGGTTTGTAGACAACTTGTTCCTGTACGATTCTCGAATAATCATTATATGAAATAGAATAAAATATAGCACGGAGCTTGTTTCTCTTTATACCACATGACAAGATTTAATATGTTAGAAATTATGTCATTCAAACTTTTTCATAATATTTTAATATTTTTAGCTATCCAAAAAATACTTTTATGACCTGCTGTCCCCTGAATATAGGGGCCAGCCCCTTTTTCTTGATGTTATCTGAAAGCTCTCGTAATTACACACAACTTTTATTCTATATGTCTTACCAAATTTTTATCAGTTTAAAAGTTATTAAACAAAAAGCAGCAAAATTTCATGGAAAAATAATTCTTAAAACTTGCCGTCACATAGCTTCCGAATTTAAAATAATTAGCCTACAATTTTAATGTTCTGCTCATCTGCAATGTATTAGTTACAAGTTCTCAAATTATCATGCAAATATCATGTGTCGTTATTGAGATTTCTACTGGACAAGAGACCCTCCAAATATCGATTAAAGGGCAATAACTCATGAACGGAGGTATATATAAAAAATTTGAAAAAACCGTTTTTAGGCAATATTACATTGTATCTACTGTAAAAGTTTCATAGCAATCGGACAAAAGGTCTCCGAGAAATCGCCTGCTGAAAATCGGCGGGAAAAAAAAATAAAATAATAATAAGAAACAGTAGAATAACAGAAGGGTCTTCCGAAGGAAGCTCGGAAGACCCTAATAATAATAATAATAATAAGAAACAGAGTAAAAACAATATGTTCCCAAACTTCGTTTGGGGAACATAATAATGTCTTTTTGGAAATTAACTCCTTTTGAAGAACTCTTTAAAATATCTATGGGATATAATTCCATATGAAATGAGGGACACACAATGGAAACAGAAGTCTCTGATGAGACTGTGGCTCTACTGGCATGAATTTATATAATAATCTGGAGAAAATCTGCACTGTTACTTAACTTTATAGTTTGGCATGATTCAATATAACTTGGTACAGGTTTACACTTCTGAAGATAACATATTCTGTATAACACTTCATGTAGCAACTTTCAGTAGTGATAAGAAAATATCTACATTATTCATATTTGAAGATGATACTTTTAGTTTGATTTATAGGAGGAAGTGTTTTAATATGTTCAAGTCCTAGAAAAAAATGATCAGAGTTTATGTGCTAACACTTTGAAAGAATTTTCACATGTTGATCTTTAACCATGGTGACATGATTTTATTGTTCATATTTCCTTCTCTAGTAGCTAAATGGCAGTATAGACCTCATCAATATCAATAATCTGATCTATTTTCATTGACATAATGCTTTATTTTTATCAATGAATTAATACTCTGCAAAATATTTTCTTGAACTAGAACAATTGCAAGATATCACTGCAGCATAGCATATGAAAAAATACACGTGCAAAATTTCCTGATGAAGAGGTATATTTAAAAGTAAGGTATATATAGGTATGACAAAAGACATGAACACATGTGGTTAAATACTTCTGAATCTTAGATACTCTGATATTTGAAAGAATTCTCTATCCTCAAGAAAACAAACAAAAAAAATCTCCCAAAAAACAGTCATATTTGATTTAAATACATAAACTGATTTAGATATGATTAAACATGTAGGTATGCATTTTATACAAGATATGATTAAAGAAAGTTCAATAAACAAAATCTTTACCTTTAGGCCTTTTGATCTGTGAATTTAATGAATTTACCAGTACATAATTTCTATTAAAAATCCCAATGAAGTACAATGTATGGAGGAGTCTTTGAAATTATAGTAAACACAAAAAGACTAGGGAGGTCAATGTCATATGGAAGATGAAGGTAAGAAAATCAAAACAAATCATGACAGAGTTCAATTGCTCTCTCCAATTATGTTATATCAGAGAATGAATTGTGGGGGAATTTTGTTGTTGTTGAATAGTTTCTTTGAAACTGAGCTAAATAAATGAAAAGTTTGAGGGAGTGACAAGACAGGATAGAGAGATGGAAGATGAAGAGGACAAACCCACAAACCCTTGTCATACTCATGTGGTGGGACAGTGTGTTTTCTATATGGCACCATGAAATTCTTGTTGGTCTCAATTAAAGTTTGCAAATACTTTAGATGCCTTTTCTATTACACTTTAGTTGTTCTTTTAAGTATGATTACATGTAATATTCCATTTCTCTGTTCATACATGTAAGATATATATTCAAAAGCCTGAAAGGCTTCAATGGCATTGAACATGAAAAACAATTTAAAATTTTATTTTGAATTTGATATAAAATTTTAACTTTAGTTTAGGGCCTCTTATTCCATGGTCCGAAAAGATTACAGTACAAATTGACTACACACCATTAAACATGAACTCTACTCTTTTCAGTCAGTTGAAAAACTATACAGGATTTCATGAATTTATATTATATTATTCTAGTTGTCTGTTTAAGCATTGTATTAGTGACTGCATCCTAACTATGACTCTGTTATGAGTACGATCGGGCATATGGTATATGATATACTATGAAATGGAGTAATACACTAATAGAGGTCAATAACTTTGGTTTTTCATGATAAAATTGTTATAAAATTGCAAAAAGGAAGGCTGAAATCTTGAAATTCAATGTTTTTAGTCTTCTAGTATCCATATTTATGTAATCTTGATTATTTTACCCCTGGTGGAAATTGTTTCTTTTACCATGTTATCTTTCCGAAATGTTATTCATGTCACTCCAAGCACCACAATCTACAGAAATTCATCCACAACAACAATCACGTTTTTCTTGTTTGAAAATAAACAAAATATCTGTGTTTTTTTAATAGAATTATTTGTAGAAATAATTGAAGCAATTTTTTTTTCAAGTTATCATTTATTGTGAGAATTTTCAAAGAAATTGATATGTTGCTATCTTTTCTTTTCGTATATAGTAAATGTATCTACTGACACCTTTGGTTGCGATTTTCCTAGCTATATGATGTTTGAGTTCTGCTCGATGCCATAAAAATATGTTAACATGTACAAAATTATGGTCATAAATGTCAGTTGTGGTGGAAAATGCATCATAAAGTTTCCATGATGATGGAGAAACTAATACTGAGACTAACTTACATATTTTCTTTCAACACTTACATGTAATACAAACTGTAGAACAAGAGTAACTGGAAACATGCAACCCCCCCCCCCCCTTTTTGTCTGATTGATTTTTACAGAGAACTGATCTTAAACACTCAGATGTAAAACTATAAAACTTTAGTACATGTGTACTTACAAATCTGTTGACTGCATTTTTGTGGGATTAGTAATAGCTGCAAAATAATTAAAGGGTAAAAATGAAATTTCAAGTTTTTAATGATCGACAGATGAATTCTCAATATATTATAATGACCATTAAATAATATGACATTAAAATGATTTCGCCTTTATGACAAGTAGTATTACCCATAGTGAAGAAGCCCTGCATATCTAATATGGACTTGAGACTAGAGACCCAGTTGTTTTTGACTTCTTCATTAGGACATTGAATGAGGTATTTAGCATCAGAACCAGGGGACCGGTCTGTCAGCATGAACCGAAGGGGTTCATCAGGTATATTAGGCTCCATCATCATCTGGTTTGTCTGAAGTGAAATTTTGAACTGCCTTTTAAGTTTTGAAAATTATAAATATTAAATGTACAAGGCACAATTTTAAAAATAAATGAGCATTAATTGTGCTACATTGATTCAAAACCAAATATTTTCATAGTTTTTTTCTGCTAACAATCTCATGGAAAAATTTGATCTAACATATTTTCTATATGAATACATGCATGTACTTTAAATATATGCTACATTATCATCAGTTTTATCTTTACCTTTATACTGTTTTTGTAAATGTAGTTAGCATTAGAGAAATTTCCTTTTTTCCTTTCAATCTTTTCACTAAATATTGTGATCTGATCAAACAAAAACACATGTCGTTCTTTGAACTTGTGGTCTGTTTTATTCTTTTCAACCTCGGCTACCATCAGTGTGTCCTGTAAGAGTAGCTTCCCTTGAGCTGTAATTCTTCCCTACAAACAAAATATATTTATCATTCAAGTTCATAATGTCTGAGATTGTATTAAGCATACATGTACATCCTTCTAGCCCAAATTAAAACTTTGAAAAAGGTTTTATTTGATACTTCTATTACTTTCCTATTAAGTTGGAAGTGGGTAATTTTAAGTTATCATACCAATGTTGTTTATTTTAATTAGTATCAAGTTCTCTATTTCCCCTCATTTATTATATATATTTAAAACAGCTGGAGCACATTTACTCTGCTGAAAGCATGCAGACACTTGACATTATAAACATCTCTTCTCACAAATCAATTCACCTTTACCTTCAAAATAAAAAAAGCTTTATTTTTTGGACAAGAAAGAATTTGTTTGAACTGATAAGATATGTTAGCAATGTAAATTGCCTGTGAAGGAATGCAAATTGTACCTTTTAGTTAATTAGTGCAAAAATAAAGAATAGTTACATTTTTTATTATTTACATTTACTAAACCATCCTAGATAAAACTCAAATTTTTGTCATAAAATGTATTAACCAAAAAAAAAAAAAAAACAAAAAAAAAAAACAAACAAACAAACAAAAAACAAAAACAATAACTTTTTTGTAAATTGCATGCACCTTTAAATTCCTTAAAAAATATAAAAATACAAGTAAATAATCCCTTTATATAATATGTACCATAAACATGGAATATTTTTTGTGAGTTAGTTGTTTATTTTATATATGATACAATGTGTCTTATACATGAAGGTCATTTCAAACTAAAACCTATGTGCTTTATTACAGTTTTGGATGTAACAGGCTAGTACTCCACATATTATTTTTACAAGTAACCCCTCATGCATAATTTTTTATGTTTACAGCACATCTATTTTTATTGTACAATGACTGAGCTTACATCAAAGCCCTGAAGTCTTCCCACTTGCATCATGTCGTTGGCAGCTTTAGGGATCACATGCATCACATGGAGAGCTTTTTTAAGTGAATCTGTTGATTCTCCAGCTCTCTCTGTGTATTTGAGTATGTCCTGTAATATCAGAGTTGTCAAAATGGTTAAACAAAGCTAAAGGAACTGTCAAAAATTATAATATTTTGAACATTATTTTGATTATTGGAAAAGGGTAGGGTATTTACTATAATCATTAGCCTAATAAGTTTAAATGTAGTAAATAAACAATTAATATGATGTATCCTGTACAAACCAGAGGTACTATGAGCAAGCTCACAAAATGATACCTCCCTCTGCCTTTTTTTTTAAAGTGCCCATTCAAATTTTGTAAATGTGACCTTGAACTTGCCAAACATATCTTGGCTAATAAAAATGACACATCATCTGGTCATAAGTAATCTTTTAGTGACATATGGACATCCTATGTTTCTCTGTTAGAAAATTCTAGACCTAACTCTCATGAGTTTTACACTTTTCATACCAGTGACATTGAATTTGCCATAATAAGCTTGGGTCAAGTTATTACACCATCAGGTCATAAATAATCTTTGTACCAAGTAGGCGGTTTTTTTTTTTCAATTCTTCATTACAAAGTTGTAGCCAGACAAGAATTTTATACTTCTGCCTTGAATTTGCCAGAATAACCTTGGATCAAGGTCATGACACCCCCTCAGGTCATAAGCAATCTCTGTACCAAAAATAAGCTTCCGATAATTCTCTATTACAAAGTTAAAGCCCAGACAAAATTGCATAGACAGATTGATACAGGGATCGACATTAATGGTTGTCCGATTGCCCGGGACAAGTAAATTCTCAGTTCGGGCAAATGAAACTTGTCCGATCGGGCAAGTGAATTTTTCTTATAGAAAGGTACATATTTATTTAGTTTACATTAATTTATAAATAAAACAATAAATTAAACACTTGATTTCACCAGGTACTTGACTGACATTGATTTGCGTTCGGAATTCCTTGGTAGCATTTCTAGATTATACCGTCGATTTAAAATCGAGTTCATTACTCCTTTCTTTCATGGTAAATATGCTCTACATCTACCAACTTTGTTAACTTCTTACTGGGAAATAATATTATTTATTCACTCACAGAATATAAGTAACACAATATATCCTGATCAAGATATGTATGTTTGTAGCAACTATCTTCCTTTAGCGTTGTTTCACAGTTATCTTTGAAAATCACGACTCACAAAAGGATCCTACCGAAAATAGTTTTTTTTAAAATATGAATTTCATAAAAAAGGAAACAGAGGGTTAATGCTGCATGGCAGTGTGTGTTACCAGGTCAAATTGACAAGGACAGAGGTATACATTTATGTACATACGCAGCATCGAAATTTTTTCATGAAGCTCAACTTGCCAAGTTGACAGTACTGTATTTGGTAACATTTTTTAATTACCATAACATTTACAGTAATAAAAAATATTCTTCCCTAATTTTGGGCAACCAAGTTTTGCATTCAGACAAGTCAACATTTGAGATCACTTGCCCAAAGGGCAAGTGAATCTAAAAGTTAATGTCCATTCCTGGGAGAGACAAGGTAATTCCTATATACCCCCCAAACTTTTTTTTGGGAGGGGGTACAAAAATCCTTGAAAGTGTAACATTTTATACATATTTTTAAAATTTTTTATATATTTTTATATTTTTACATTTAGTCAAAATATTTACAGTTACCGGTATCTGAATTTCAATATCCTTGAACCCCCTCCACAAAACATCCCCCTAACACACACACACAGACATAAAAAAGAAATTTACCTTGAGCAAGAGTTGGTATTTCATAATTCTTTGGACTGGTTTGATAAGAAGATCTGAAAGCTGAAGACGATGTTTCAACTTCTGTCTGATCTCCTGAAATCAATCAAACAGTTTTATCTCAAACACATTTTAAAAAGAAATGGGGGGGGGGGGGGGAATTACTTTTCATCCAACAATTCATCAATTTCAAATTATCTGTTAACATACAGTTGAACTTCTGCATCTCAAACACTGATGTCTTGAATACCATGGATATGTTGAAGTGATTTGGAAGTCACAACCCCTTATTCTTTAAGTATTTTACCCTGGACATCTCGAATCCTTGGTTATTCGAAGTTTTTTCTCGGTCCCATTGAGTTCGAGATAACGAGGTTTGACTATGCAATGACTAAAATTCTTTTAAATATTTAATTTTTCATACATACATTTTTAATACATACCTCAAAATATGTGTCATTAAATTCTGCCACAATAAACTCTGATTTGGGTTTATTTTCACAGTACTTTACATACATGTGCAGACGCCGTTCCTGAAAACAATTTATTTGTAAATAACATCTTTATCTTCCATGTCTTGTTGCTGACCAGCTATAAATTACAAAACTTGAGATACAGTTAATGAAATGTCAATGTCAATCTAATTTCTTACAGACATATACTCTGTAAATCACATATTTTTGTGGTGTCACATTTTCAAGGTTTGAAGAAAAAATATGGATTTTGTGGGAATTTCATTTCGTGAATAAAGAATTTATTTTGTGGTCGACATAAATTCATGGGTCTCTTCAAACCTTGAAAACATTGAAAATTAAACCCCCATGAAAATTCGTGACTTTGCAGTACATGTACTTTGTTTTACTTACATATCTTGTAAAAAGTGTTCCTAATTTTTGCGCATCATCAACACACTTTTCCACTTCCTTACAAAACGTTCTAAAATAAACAAAATAAAAATCATTAGTTTAAAACCTTCTTTTCCAAATCTGTTTTAATACAATATGTATACCTATTTCTAAGAACTGTTTATGCCTGTGTATATATGTGTGTCCCTATCAGCTATTGTTAACAGTTTCGTATATAAAATATTTTGCTCTTTCTTTCACTCAAAGGTCTATAAATTTTGACAATCAAGGTAAACTTCTCCTTTCTTGTATTTTCGAACTGTTCAGGGTTGTCCCTTAGACCCTGGGGCCGGGGAATTTCCCCGCCTATAATGATGTAATCCCCCGGTTACTCTGTAACCCTTCTATTATTTTTTATGTCCCCTGCTATTTCAATTCTTAGGGACAGCCCTGACTGTTCCAATATAAGATGAAAGGGGTTTAGGGGTCAAGAAACTTACTCTTTGTGCCATTCATAGATCTGGTGAATATTTCCGAACACAATTTTGTCTTTGCCCTCCATATCAGGAGGGATGGGATTTTCTTTCATGTATTTCATATAACCCTGAAATATAAAAAATTGAATTTGAAATTAGCAATTTTTTTCTACTTACTACCAGAAAATAAATTTCCAATTTTTTTTGCATGTTCCTATTCAGGATTTTCTAGATCAACATTGATATAAATTACCTTTCATGTGCTAAACCACAAATCAACACATTTTTGATATGTATGAGTATTCATAATTAGTTTTTTTCTTGTACAGGGAAAAGATGTATGTATATAATTTTTTTTTCAAATACTCACATCTACAACAAGACCCAGGTCTTTGACATAGTCATTTTCTGTGTCTAATAATTCCTGCATCACAAATCTGTAAGCAAAAAGCAATTAATAAATATACTGGGACTTACAAGTTTTTATTCTGTACTTCTCATTAAGAAAAATTTGCAACTGTCTCTATCTCCAGGATTGTACTAAGTTTTCCTTAAACTGAAGATCAGTGAGAAAGCCAGGACAAACATTTTGTTTAATAATGTTGTTAACAAACTTAAAGAACACATGATTTCATTAAAAAAAATATATATATATATTAATTTGAATGGACAAAAATAACTCAACAACTTTCAAAATATTACACATTTCCCCTTCTAAATAAGATTGAACAATTTCATCTCTGTCAAAATATCTGATAAACCCATGAAAATAAAAATCTAACACTATATCTAGTCAAAGCTGTCTGTGGATGTTTTCTCTTGGTTACATAATACATATCAATCTCTGTCAGTGTATTTACACTCTATGTTTTATTATCTATCTAAGCTGTAAACTTACAGGGAGATCTGGCAATAAAAGTACTCAGTGTAAACATCCATTTCCCCCTATAACCTGGCATTAAAATATTTATAGGCAGGAGAAATGTACTTATATAGTGCCCTTCCTTATGAAAGTCTTTTTAGTGGATTTTAGTTTATATTTTCTACTAAATTTTATTTTTAAAAAAATTGAGGAACTTGCTAAAAGGCAAATCAATACAGAAGGCAAATATTTGAAATAAATATCATCTATTAATGGAGATAAAAAAAATTTCAATAGATACAGATGCACTTCTTTTAGTTTAAATGATGTTTAGGGCGACTCATTTCTGGCTGATAAACTTTCAAGCCTTCAGATTTGCATGGCATAAAACACATGATGCATTAATTTCTATGTGTCTAGGATGTGAAGGCTCATTAAAACTTAAAATGAAACAAGGATGTAGAATACTTGCAATAAATACAACCAAATGTCAGACGGTATACTCTGTATCATCCTCAAACTAAATACTTTATAGGAAACAACATAAAAAAAAATGTTCAAAAATGCTAACAACCTGCAATAAAAATCATCCACGTAAAGTTATCAGTAGATCTTATCAACACTGTGTTTGATTACCCCGTGTCTAAAGAACCTACAAGTAGTTGGGTTTTTGACTGACAACTCCTGCAAATGAATCTACACTTCAGTTGTTTGATGATCAATATTAACCTTAACATGTTGTACTTAATACTTCAATAAGCTACTATTTTATTTACATAATTTCAGCCTCATATGATGGTTAGAAAATTTATTACATGCTCTAATTCCAACAAATAGTTAATCTTAATATAATATATTTTGAGCTTTAAAAATACTAGCTGCTTGTAGCATGTGCATGGTGTACAGTATTTTGTTTACTACAATTCCACAGCTGTATTTATAGTAACACTGTATAACACTGTTTGACATGCCTCATTAATACTGCAGTTGATTGAGAGTTCTGTACCTGAATGTCACTGATCAATCCTTTAGTGATTGATACTTGAGAGCCTCCACTCACCTGCGTTTCGTGACATTCTTTTCTTTCTCTGCCTCCTGATTGGACTCGGTCTCCCCTTCTCCTCCTCCTAATTCCGAGGATCCCTGTCCTCCTGTGTCCTCTTTGTCACCATTGTTGATATCCTAGAACACAAACAAAACATTGTAAAAAAAAAATGATGCTTTACAAGACCCTAAGGATTATACTTTTTGTATTTGCAAAAAGGTTGTCTTGCGTTTTCTCCCCCAGAATATTTTGGCCATGTTGTCTGGTATGTAAGGGATGTGTAGATGCAGCATATAATATACTAATTAAACAACCAATAGGTAGAATGTTCCTCTATTATATGTTTATAACAAAAGAATGGCTGACATGTTCTGATATAAATACAAGTAGGACAGTTTAACTCTGATTTTAACTTCTTAGTTCTTTTTTTTATCACAGGATGTTGTACAATGTACATTATGCAGTAACATCTTCTTCTTCTCAAAGAAAAAAAAAATATGGAATCATTCCATAAAGAAAAACATTTACATATGTTTGGCCTCAAGTCACAAATAGGAATCAAGAATAGACATAATAGATGTTTTTCTTGGAAAGCAATGCTTCATTACTTACTCTCTAATTTAAGAGAAAATCAACATTAATTGCAAGATTGCAAGAACCCTCATATAAGCCCCCACCCTTAAAAAAACACTCTCTAGTGACTTATTCTAGACAATAAGAAGACTGTGTAAGGATCATTCATTAGTACCGGTACTTAATACTTGTTAGATATGCATTCTCTATGAAGTCACAGCACTGGGCTAAGCCTGATCTGCATGAAAACCTACATAACTTGATTGGCATGTCTGTTTTACTGGCCCTTGTTGACAAGCCAAGATAGTTGCCAATGATATGTGAAGACACCTATCAACTGACTTACATAAGAGGGTTGTACAAACAACTCCTACTTATCCATTAGGAGAGAATTTTTACTGAACACCCAATATCAGAGTTTACTTTGACTACAATGTAATGATCAAGGTATACTAGCTGAAGGGAAAAAATTACTTTTGGTTTTCTTAACACAAATAGAATACCTGCAGTTTAGGTTAATTAGCAATTTGAAAAGTAGAACACTGCAACAGAGGAAAAGTTCATAAAAAATTCCTGGAAATGTATCATAGAATTGTTTTCACTCTCAGCCCCTAATGTTCATTTTGAAAAGCTTTAGTTCCACTATATGCCAACATTGAACGATATCAGGCACTTACATTCTGTACAAAAGCACATGTACATAAAATGCATGGAATGAATGACAACAATCTACAGATACTTCTTTTTTTTTGATTGAAGAGCAGTGCAGTCAGAAATAGTGCATCATCTACGTTTATATAAACAAATTGCCTCGCATTCCATCAGACATATTAGAAGGATGATTAATAAAATCCCCCTATCATAAGCAGGGAGAGAATGAAGGCATGTGCCTATTGTGTCTTCAGCTGATACTAGGCTTGATCAATAGGGGAGAATGTGCATACTTTGTTTTCAAAAACTAACAGATGAAAGACTGTCTGCTTTGTCAACATCATAAGTGGGGATTCAAAATAACACTGAGCTTGAATTTTTTGGGTTCTTTACCACGGTGTAATATTTCAGTATAATTTTTCAGTGGCTGTATATATGACTCTCCCATCTCTCATATAATCAGCAGCCATTTGAAAGTCAAATGAAGGTCAAGTAAATGAAGTGGAAACTTTCCTGTCTCTAAATATTTTGTTCTCTACTGCTGAAATTTTATGTTTAAAAAATTAGAAAAAAGGAAACTATAAAGACAAAAGTATTGGAGTCATTCCAGAATATATGCTTAGGAATTTATGACAATAACTTTCACACTGGATGAGTTTTGAAAGTATTTTGCATGTGGACAAGGGTTGCAATACAACAATACTAATGAAAAATGGATAATAACAGTGGAATTCAAATAAAATTCCTATCATTTGATCTCTAAAATTCTGAGAAATTACTGGAACCAACTGAAAAGAGATTTTAATTTTTCTCAGTGTATATATTATTTTAAATTACTGAATACTAATGTCTACAATTGAAGACAGGTCAAACATAACTTACCATATCTTTAAACATTTTCTCCATGGTAGCTGCTGAAGCTGGTCCAATAGAAGCAGGGTTCCCTTCTGTAATCAAAGGCTGTAAGAAAAAAGGAACAATTCTAGGTAAAAACAAACCTCTTCTTGAAAACTTTGTCAGTCTTTTTGGTTGTTTTTTTTTTATTCATGAAAGAGGGGTTTTTAAAATTGCTGAAATCAATCATTCACCTCAAAGCAAGTGTCAAATATTTCACGCTCAACTCTATAAAAACATCACCATATAGGACGCCTTGTACCAATATATTTACAAGAAAAGTAGTTAAATGTAAACTACATGACCTTGACCAATATTTGATCTCTTCCAGTTTCTCTGTTATTTCTATCAATTAGTGGTTTAAGGGGACTTTTATGTTTAAATAAAAAAAGAGAAAGAGACCCATGGGCCACACAACACTCAATCACCTGAATCACACTGGCCATGCTGTTCTTAAGAAAATTAATGATCTGAATTTTTTTTTTATTCATATGAAAATTTTGAACCCATTTTGTGACCCCAAAAAGGGTCATGCTATAAATTGAATCAATCTACATAACACTGAGATGCTTCAAAATCAATATGATTAACCTGGCCTTCTGTTCTGGAGAAGATATTCTAAAGGTTTTCATTCATGTGTACATGCATTAGGTAACATTTGATCCCTTACTTTAGTCTCACCCTAGCTAACCCAAACGACACTGATTTGAAAAAAGAGACTTGTAACCATACAACTTGAGAATATTTGCATATTAATACAATATGGACCTTCTACTCTTGTTTACCCATTAAATTCCTCTATGTTTTCTTGTAAAGCTTTGATCCCTAATTGTGGCCCCACTATACCCCCAGTTTTCAAGACTGAAGAAATCTTAATCTGCACTACCTGAGCTTCCATATGACAAATTATGTCCTTTCTGTTCTTAAGAAGAGTTTAAAGATTAAAAAAAAATTACCTATGTATCACTTTCATTCCTTATGGCTCCACCCTACCCCCTCTGGCCATGATTTCTGCACTACTTGACGACGCATGCATATCAATATGACTAATAATGCCCTAGCTGTTCATGAATAGAAGAATTTACTGACTTTTCTCTACAAACTCACTTGTGAAACTTTGTTAACCAATTGTGGCCCCACCCTACCCCCTCAGGCAATGATTGGTACAAATTTGAATCTGCATTACCCAAGGATGCTTACCTATTTGCATGACTACTCATTGCCCTGTTGTCCATGCAAAGAAAATTTTCAAAGACTTTTCACTATCTTTTCCCATGCAAAAATTTTATCCTTGATTGTGGCCCCACCCTATCCCTGGGAGCAGCAAATTGAACAAACTTGCAACTGCACTATCTGTGAATGCTGGCACATAATCATGCCTTCCTGTTCTGGAGTTTTTTTTTTCCTATAAACCCCATGTAAAACCTTGATACCCCTAAAACAGACAGCAGACATGTTTGATCAGAAAAGCTCACTTGAGCCTTTGGGTCAGGTGAGCTAAAACTGGAATGCAGTGTGAGAAGACAAGGATGGCATAAGGAAAATTAAGATTTTTCTATGTCATCCAGAAAATGAAGAACTTTATTAATAACGATGATGTATGATCTTTTGTCCTTATGTTTATTTTAACATACTGGTATAGCAGACTCTAGGCAATGTAATTTGAAATGTTGTATTGACCAGAACACCTACAGATGCTTTGTGAAACAACTGGAAAATTTCCTTCACCTCTTCTCTACGATATAGACAGGGATTGTTTTTCCAGTATGTCCAATAGACTTTCTTGCAGAGAATATTATGAAAGAACATGTCCTTTTACTTCATTGTGTTGCAGGGTAGAGCAACACTTAAGGATCACTTTGCCCAATGTCTGTCTCTCTGTCTGTCCATCTGTCATACCATAATATTTTGAGCTGTTAGAGGTAGATATTTGATATCTCGTTCATGTATTGCTTAGGACATTAGCTTTTGTAAGATACCGAGGTTACTGACCTTGTCACCTTTGAACCTGACCTTTGATCTATTTATTGAAATAAACCATTATCCCCATAAAGACATATTCTTTGAGCTTTGAAAGGTAAGTATGTGCTATTTAGAATGTGCACAGCTTGTTATATTTTGGGGAAAAAACATCAGTTTCACAGTTCACTTAACCTTTGACATACTTTTCAAGAATACTCCAAACCATCCATTTAACACAACTTTTGAATTGTGAGAGTTAGGGGCTGTGATAACTAGCATATTTATTACATATATACAAACTCAAGACACTGTAGTTTTAAATGAAATGGGATTTCTTTTTTTCTAGCAAAATTACCAGACTTCTTTTCAAAGTAGTTATATGTCATGCATTTACTATATAAATCCTGAATGGGCTAGTTTGACAAGTTATTTTGAGAGGGTAATCATAAAAGTCTCCTTGAAATATTTCTTTCCACAAGTACATCTAAAATGCTTTACCACAAGCATGCTACTTTAGGTATTCTATGGTACATATATAATGCAGGATTTTGCCAAGATTTCTGATAGCAATTCTGTGGATTTTTTTCTATTTCATATATTTATTTTGTACAAGTAAAAAAAAAACTACTCAATAGGGCAAATATCTTTAACAGGAAGGACCAAAGTTTACAAAAATACATGCTGTGCTTAAGTATAACTTAGTAGATCAAAACAAATGACATGATAAATCAATAAATCTGTCTGTATCTAGGTTGACAAAAAAATGCAGGTCTGTTATTTAAATAATCTTTGTTCCACATTTAAACCTTTCTTTCAGCAGGAATTAAATATGTAGCAATACCAGCTGTCACAAAGTCAACAACATAAAAAGCTTTAAATGTTTTATATTCAATCACAACATTACTCACATGTGAATCAAATGGTTGCATTGGTGGGGGCATTGCAATTTCTTCTGTATCATCTGGGGACCTGTCCCCTTCTGCCTCCATTGAAGTATCTGGGGATACATTGGCTTTGAGGGGTAGGGGTCTTGGAGCCTGGGTGGGGACAGCATTAGTAGCCGTTATCACTTCCTGTTCTCCCTGTTCCTACAAAACACAATACAGAAAATGTCATACAAGTATTCTAACCAAACACAATCTATATGCCACCAAAAAACAGATGCTGCTTTTCTAACAATTTATTTTATTCAATTACATTCTACTGTACAGATTTCTTTCTAAAATTAAGGTGAATGCTACAAATCAAGTTGTGCTTAAATAAAAAGATAAAAAAAAAATAACTCTCAACTTATGTATCTAGATACATAATAAGGCACTGCTTATATTGTTGATTAGTGACCACACAATTAGAACTAGCAAATGGGTATAAAGAAAATACAAACACCAAAAATATTAGTGTTTGTTTTTTAATACAAACACTAAAAAATAAAAAGTCATCTGAATGGTGAAAACAATATCCCCTTTTGAATCTGTTTACAGTAAAATCAGTATTTTGTCTTAATTAAATGAACACTGCCTAAATCAAGTACATGTATATTTATAATGATTGTGGAGATCGACAAATGATGGTGTTCAACCCCACAACCTTCAACTCATTCTGTTCTTAAACAGCACAAAAAAAAAATCATCATCATTTTTAAAAAAAAAAAACTCCATCCATTTTAATGTGAGACATCAAGTTTTTGCGTCTCTAACTGAGCAGTTTTTGTACAAAATTTGAAACAATTTCTTTGGACAATGGAGCATTTTCACCCTTTATTTCCAAAGAAATTACATAACTCTGAAGTGTATGTAATGTTAATCGATTAACCAAAGCTAAATGTCTACATTATATTCACAGCTTTATGTCTGCCTGGAGTAGTTAGATTCATTTATCACACTGCATTTGAATTAGTCTTTACATCATCTGGTTAATGAATGTGCAAATTTTTACCTTGACTTTAAAGCTTATAGGCGTAATAGGACTGTCTGCATTAGTCTACATAAAATACAAACAGCATATATAATTAGAACATTATATCCCATACATTTATCAAATAATGGCTCTCTCAGATCTGCCTGTAATGATTTACTTGGTCTCAATCAATATCTATAAAGTTAACTCAGGGAACAATGGAATTTATCCTCATCTATTAAACACAAGGGATCCAATATTTCAAAGATGTTGTTATGAAACAAGAGAAACAAAAACTCTAATCATTGTATCTGTATTAATATGAAAAGGACAGCTAAATTAAATACATGTAATCTCATTGACAGGAACCAAAAGAGACTTTGATAACAACTCTTAATTTGCTGTGTTTGGAAGGCCCCGCAATTCTTAGACTATTTCATTTCATAATGAATAAGAAATTGGCATTCTATTGATAATCTACATTGTTGAACCACTTTAAAATGCCTGCCTAGATCCATTTAAATAAAAGAGAGAAAAAAATCAAGATTAAATGTAAATCAATATTGCAAAAATAATTATGCATATATGTTGTTATTGCCTAACATGGAATTTCTTTAAGCAGAAACTACCACTTAAGGCGATACCTTGAGTTGGTCAATCAAACTTTCATGAATAATAGATTGACAGTAGTCTGCTTAGACTTATTGTTATGAAAAATCACGGAATGTGTGTGTGCGTGAGTATATATATGCACACACAAGCCGGAGAGGGAGGTTAAAAGTTTTTCTTAAAAATTCTCTGAAGTGAATTCGTTTTTTTAATGCTCTGATCATAATAAATGATTTTTTCAATTTGACAGTGAAGTATGCTTTAAATGGACAGGTTCATCACTCTCTTCTCATCCAACAACAATTATTAGAGCCCGGAATCCATTGTAATGTTGGTACAAGTGGAAGAGATATATCTATAAATGGAAACTCTTCTTGAAAATTTGGATTAACAGTCAACATTTCTTTAAAATTATCGTTTTCCCCTCAAATGTTTAGATTTCCAAGGCATGCACATCACTATCAGTATATTGAGTAGACAAACATTTTAAAAATTCTCACGATTTTTTGTTAAGGAAGCCCAATTGTTACCCTGGGAAACGAAGTCGAAGACCTCTTTATTCACCCCCATAGTTCTCTACTAGGTTATTATAAGGGAACTTGTTATTAAAGTTATGACATATATGCAAGACATTTAAAAAACACATTTCCAGTAAAAATCAAAATATTTTTCATTATATGCCAAAACTTTGACACCTTTCAAACACTATTAGTCCACATAATACCTACGTTTGGTGTGAAATTCATTTGATACTTGTTGCTCTGTTTTCGTTGGCAAGGACATAGAAGATGAAGAATCTGAACAAGAGCTGTGTTGTTCTCCATTGCAAATCTCTTCCTCTCCGATTTCTTTACTAGTATGTTAATAATACTACACTCTCAGTAATACACCTTTTCCCTGAGTCAAAATATCAATACTCCATTATTAAATGTTCGTCTCCATGACAGTGTCATAAAATCCTTTTCATTATTGAAAATAGTGTCTCCCCATTTTGCACTTAGACAATGTCCATGTTGACTGTGACTTGTTTGTAACAAGCAGGTTAAATAACACAAGTGGGTCCCACTTCCTAAATGTTCACGCTGGGTAGGAAAATGAATCACTGTAAAATTCACTCCACTGATATTTATAAATACTATGCAATCTGTAGCAGCATGAATACCATAACCATATTAACTTCTTCACTTGACTTAAAAAAAAAAAACGCTTTACATCAGACAATGTATATCAATAGCCCATCACCCTGAATTGTTTAATTAACCCTGTCCTTGTGACGACAACAATAGATAAAATCATTTTCTAGCCAACCTTTAAATAGGTTAATGACAGGAACTCCAGGTTTAGAATGACCTTCACCATCCAACAGAGATAATCTAAAAGTACCCCAGTTGCAGCATTACTCTGTATCCAAATATACCGATAAAATTTTCAGCCTGTTGGTGCTGCAGTCATCAATTTAATATCCCACAGTCGAATATTCACACATTAATCATTTACAATTCCTTTTTTGGCAAAAAATTAATTTGGCATTTAACATGGGTTCAAAAATTCTACAATTCTGGTTTTCAACACTTGCCATTTGCTAATCTATCCATTCTTGAGCACACGTCATTTTGTCACCATTGTCTATTGATCAATGAAGCTGTTTTCTTACAATTCAATCTAACATCACAGCGACAAACCTGTTTAAAATAAACTCAGGTATAGAGCCACACAGGAACTCTTAAATGGCACGTGGTATTCAAATGCTGCAATGGTAAACTAAAAAAGCTCACACAAATAAGGAATAACAAACACAGAGGAAAAACAGTGATCACCTGCTGTGTTTGTTTTTGATTTCCATATAAATACTACTTCATTTATGGGTGTGGCATTTGCGAATAGGTATAGAGCAAGTAATTGATTATTTCTACACAAAGGCTATCACTTATGCTATTTACAAAATATATATCTCAAGTATAGACGAGAAAGACAAGTAAATGAACAATAAATTAATGTAGCTGATATCTACCAAATAAGCAAAAATTAGATAAATTATCATGAAACAATACCTCTGTAAAGTTAACTCCATCTTTAAAAAAATTATCTTTAACTGAGATATGGGACACTTTCAGCCAAGTTTATTCTAAGGAAAGGAACAGTTTATTTTTTTTCATACATTTTACAATTTATATGACAAGCTTTTATAGTCATATTCAGATCTGTTAGCATCACCAAAGATAAAAAACTTTGGCTCCAAACAATACTTAGAATTTATGACTTCTTCTCTTATAACTACAGTATTGCAAACCCATTAGATAAAAGTATACGATATGGATTGAACTTCAATATAAATATAAAACTCTTTGTCTTTCCTTTTCTAAATCTGCTAATTTTGTTGGCACTGACTATAAAAGCAACATCTCATATTTTGTGATCAATTTGTTGCATGTACAAAGGACTATATTCGGTAATAACCAATATTTGCCCCAAAATCAATCTCTGATAGAGAAATCTATAATTAATGTTCTAAACTAGGGGGATATCAGTATAGACTTCAAAGCATTAAACATTTTCACCAGCCACAATGTCATATGTTAGATATCACGTCAGGAAAATGGCGTAAACTTAAAATTTCCATGATTTATAAAGAAAAAGGTTTACATTACATCAGTATTTTGAGTAAAAGTCACCGAGCGCCATCTTGGATATTTTGATATAATTTGTAGAATGAAAATATCAATGAAATATGTGAATACTGTTATGGAGCAGGTTTGCGCTCTATAAATTATATAGTAAAAATTGAACAAATTTTCTCCATTTTGTCCTCTTTCTGAAAAATAATGAAAAATCCAAATAGTTTATGATGTCATAGAGACAAAAATTGCCAATAGCCTACTTCAAAACTATAATATTTTTTGTTAATTCTTATTTTGCATTCAAAATACACAAAGCAGCACATTTCAAGAATTTCTCAAATTTGATTTTTATGGGGGCAAAAATATGTATATACCGCATATAGCTCTTTTCTCTTTTTTTCTGTTTCACTGCCAGTGATTTAACATAACAAAAAACCCACTTCCGTCTTATATACAGCGTCATTTTCTACTGTACATGAATTTTGATAACTAGAGCTACAAGTTTTAGTCCTAATTCAAAGAGAATGAATGGTGTGTGTTGAGAGGGGTAGAAGGATGAAAAGAGTTAAACTTCAGTTGTCTCTACAGTTCATTTCATAATCAGAACAAAACTTTTACTTATTATCTGACTTGGGACAGATGCCAGAAAAAGGAGCTACGGAAAATGATGCTGAAATATATATATAAAAAAAAAACATCATGTAACAACATTTGTTTTGAAATATACTTCTTCTGTTATATCAAAGACTAAGTCATACAAAGGCACATCCTCGCAAGCCAGGGGTCCTGAGTCAACACGTTGCCGTTGGACCCCTGGCATATTTCATTCAATATTTCTGGGCTCACTGTAGCGACGTCTTTCGGAAAAATTACAAATCCTGATTGTTTTTCTTATCTGTTAACCAATCACATTAAGCCATTCTACGATAAACAACTCCTAACAGGTGCATTTGAGGTGTCAACTG